TCAGTAGAATGATTGCGTCACCAGATTTGAGCTCTCTCTTTAATGACTGTCAATGACCTTCGTGGCACTTCACATGTAAAACTTAGGTGATTTCAGTTGTTTGTATGATTCAATATATTCCCTTCTAAGAGCCTCTGATTTACCATTTCATTCCTATGATATTTAACCTAGCGATTTTTTAAAAATAACATCCAATTCTAAATAAATGTATGTATGTATTTGTATGTAAATACATGTGTAGATGTATATAGATTTTATAATTTATAACTATTTACATAGCTAACAGATACAACTAGAATCAAGCCCACATTTGAATATGTGAAATATACTTATATTCTTTAAGCAAAATAAGAAAGCATAGTTTCTTTGCCATGCATAATTTTTAATGATAATCACAAATCTGTGACAAAATGACAGAAACTGTATTGACTACTCCAAAATGTTTTATAAACCACTCTCCTCTTGCCTTTCTCTATTAAAAAGCTATAAATCTAAAATACTTAATGTTTCAGGATGCTGGAGATACGTCTGGAAACATGTGACAGGGCTCAGACCAATTATATGTTAAAAGACAATGAGTGGGACTCATGGAAAGCCTTCAATATAGCCTCAGCTGGCAGTAATCTGCCCCTTTGTCATTCTTCCATCTTCCTACCTAGAAGACTAGCCTGAAGCAGAGAATGCATTTTATGATTACAATAAGAGAACCCTGAAGGGTAAAGACTATAGGATAAAGATGTTGGAATAAGAAAATAGAACAAAGTGCTCTGATGACATCATTGAGTCAGATAGCCTGCTCTGGATGCTGAACCCATAGTTTTTAAGGTGTAAACTAAACACCACTCCTACTTTCAGTGAGATATTACGTCACGTGGGGCAGAACACATTTTTAACTAATGCAATATTCCTTATTATACAGAAATAAAATTAGTGTAAATTACCGCTTGCCTCCCCCATTACTTCCTAAGGAATAAATGATTTTCCCTTTATCAGGAAGAAACATTCCAGTCTCTGGAACCCATCCTTTACTCCCTCATTGCGTTTTCAATCTCTTTTTCTTTAGTGGTACTTAAAATTTAAACATTAAAAGCAAACAAAAATAGATAAATACTTGTGTACATAGAAAAAGCTTTCCTTAACATTTCTGTGCAATAGGGCTTTCATTATTTTTCTTTCTTCGATTAACGAGCAAACCTAATGAAGTACCAATCTCCAACCACACTTCATTTCTTATCATCCCTTAATTTGTTCATACTTTCGCACAATAAGAAAATCCCCATTGTCGAAATTGTTTTTTCAGAAGTCCTCAGAGAACAGCCTCCAAAAAGCTTGCTCAGTCTTAATCTGGAACCATCTATATTATTAACAATCCAGTTCCTTTTAGAAATCCTATCTCAGTTTTATTTTATTATGCTATACTATGATTGCTTTCCTTTTCTTCACTCTATTTCCTAGAATTAATAAATTCCTAGAAAATAGTCTCAAGTTGTCATTTCTCCCAAATCCCTACTACTTCCTCCTTCACCTTTGTGAGCCTGACTGGCATGATCCACCGCCTCAGGAACCGAGTGTGCACCAATGTCTACCACATTATGTCTTCATTAGAAAGCAAATGCATCCAATAACAAACCACTTTTCTTTCTGCCAACTATGTACTTCATTATTTTCTACTGTCCAGTGTCAATAAGTGAGGAGATTTTCTTTTTTTCCCCCTCTCTCTTTTCTACACTCATATCTAATCAGTGGCAAACTTCTGTAAATTCTAACTAAGCAGTATTTTTCTTATCAATTCTCTCTTTTTCTTACCCCTCGATTTTTACTGAGGTGAAAAAGATTACCTCGTGGATGGGACTAATTAAATATTCTCGTGAAAACAAATTGAAAGAGAAAGAAAATGAATTGCTAAATTTTTAAAATTCTAGTAAAGATGAAATGTCATTAGGATGGGCCAGTTGAATGTTAACAAACTGGACTGATAATCCAGCATCTCCTTGTGGAAATCATTATGGTCCATGTTCAAAGGTGATTTTTTTCTAAAGAACAAATTTATGTTCATTGAGAATAAACTTATTTTTGACAAGATTGCCAAATAAATCAAAATGCGAATTTAATCAACAACAAGACATGCCACTGCCACGAGCACTGAACACGCAAATGTAAATAAAGTGAACACAGGTGTGAAAAATGAGGAAAAAATTGAGAAGCATTAAAATACAGAATGAACTCTCTAAAAATATAAAGAACACAGTTATCTGAAGTAATATAAGTTATTTTATGACTGACAGGTCAGCTAGAACTGAAATTAACATAATAAAAAATATAAAAAGAAAATGTTATATCATAAGAGTTTTAATCAGCCTTGGGAACTGTATTAGAGTACTGCCTAAGTTGCTGGAGAGACCACTTCATACCCACTAGGATGGTTATGGTTGAAAAAAAAAAAGCGGATAATTACGAATATTGTTGATGATGTAAATAAAGTAGCATCCTGATATATTGATGATGATAATCGAAGTGCCATTGGAAAAATATTCTGACAGTTCCTAAAGAAGCTAAACAGAGTGACCATATGACCCAGCAATTCTACTCCTAGATATAGACCAGGAAAATGAAAGCCTATGTCACACAAAAGCCTTTTCACAAATGTTAATAGCAGCATTGTGAAAATGTTAGAAGCAACCCAAATGCCCTCCAACTGATGAGTGGAAAAATAGTGATATATCCATGCAAAGGAATATTATTCAGTTGTAACAAGGAATAAAGTGCTGATGCATATTACAATATGAATAAACCTTGAAAAACATTATGTACAATATTCAATAGTTGGGTGACCAGCACACTAGAAGCCCAGTCTCTACCATTAGGCAACGTACTCAAGAACCAACATGCACACATATCCCCTGAATCTAAAGCAAAACCAAATTATTTAACATTATTTATGTTCATTTCTTTACTGTATTGCAAAATATACTAAAATGATTTCAGCTGAGCATGATGGCTCAGGTCTGTAATCCCAGCACTTTGGAAGGCCAAGGTAGATGGATCACTTGAGTCCAGGAGTTTGAAACTAGGCTGGGCAACATGGCAAAACCCTGTCCCTAAAAAAAAAACCTGTGCATGATAGTGCATGACTATAGTCCTAGCTACCGTGGAGGTTTCAGTAAATCTATAAAAACAGAAGTAGATTGTGGTTGCCTAAGGCTGCAAGAATTAGCGGGGAGAAATGCAGGGTGATGATAAAGGGTAGATAATTTCTTTATAGGGTTCTGAAATCATTTAGTGGTGACGGTTGGATAATTCTATGAATATACTTTTAACATACTGAACTGTATACTTTAAATGAGTGAATTGTATAGTATGTAAGCTTTATTTCAGTAAATCTGCTATAAAAAGTTATTATGGTGGATGATAACATTTACTGTGACACAGTTGTGAAATAATTTTGCAAGTCACTCTTATTTAAAGGAAATCCTTAGTTATATAACAATGTTTTCAACAACATTGCTTTCTTTTTTAATAAGGTAAAATTCATTAGAGTACATTGGAAAAAGTGTTATTCTAAGGATCACTAAAATCCTTTTTTAACTTACGTGAAGTATAATTCTTTTTCACCAGGCAATACTGTTTGTCAATAAATAATATTTACTAGGAGATGCACAAGGCAATTTAACTTCAGTCATGAGTAATGAGCTGTGTTATATAGTGTTTATGGAACTTATTTTATCATTCAAGTATACAACAATGTAGTTGCCTAAATAGTCATCATTATAGTTGTATGAGTCTGTACAAAGATATTAAAGATATTACAGAAAAATAATGAAGACACTTGATGAGTTCTATGAATGTTCACTTAATTGGTGTTAAAATAATTTTTAGTACTTTATTTAATTGCATCCAAATGACAAATCCTTTCTGCAAAGAAAATAAATGTCACTCCTAATCCTGTTACATCCTTCCTATTGCACAGATTAAAGGCTTGTTAGTGTACAGAATAAAAATATTCGTATTCACAACTTTGAGAAAATGGCTCCTAAGAAAATCTTACCATCCCAATTAGGCAATTAGAAGTAAGACAGTAAAATCTAATTTAGAATACCACTGAGCATTTACTACTTTTAAATTAACAACTTATCCATCTATAAATAAATCTCAAGAAAGAATTTTCCTTTTTCTGGATTTATTTGATTTGACACTTAAACAATTATCAATTAACTTACTTAATATTTAATATGAGTAATCATAACCACTACTATAAGTGGAATTTACTTAGAAAATCAACATTTTGTCTGAAATATAAGATTAGAAATATGACAAGGTATGAAATGAAGTACATTTGTCTCTTTAAGAGCAATGACTATGTTCACTAGTTATATTTTCTTTGATCATCTTAGTCAAAAACAACTTCTGTGTTTCATAAAACTCTACCAAAATAAACAGGAACAGAAAAGGTTCTAATGGTATAACTTTCTCCAACCTTGAAATGCATATAAAAAGTGATTTATATTGCATTAGCTAATTTTATACAACTACTTTGTTATTATTCTATTATAAAATTGCCATTTTGACATCAATTGTGTACATTAAGCTTTCTGGTAAAACTTACCTCAGGAACAGAAAAATTTGACTTTAAGTTCTTATACTAATAACCGTCAGAATCCTTTATTTAAATGTTTCATTTGCTGCATAAGTATTCATCTTTAAGATAAAAATCATGTCCTAATCCTAGGCCTAACAAATGATGCAGGCACTTAGAATTTATTAATAAATTGCAACAAACTATCTCAAGACTCCTGAGAAAAGACAGCAAACCACTGTCAATTTTCTATGTCTTGGATTCCTTAATATGTCTGTATTCATCTATCAGATAAAGATAACTCACACAAATTCAAATATAGGTACATATCTAGCTGTATACGTTGGCCTTCTATATTTCTAAATCACATAACTGCTCTTATTGTTTTTTATATAATTTAAAAGGTTATCTTAAAGAAAAAATATACTTACTGCCCTCTAGAGGTATGAACCAGTAGTGTAATAAGTGTAGATGTTGCTGGGCATATACAGTTTAAAGCTAACATGGCGTATTTAAACTCTTCTTCACAAACAACATGATCTGTTTGAAATAAAATAGGTAAATTAGAATAATTTACCTTTGGAGAGTAATAAAGTATAGAAAATAAAACAAAATGAATAAAATGGCAAAAGTCTCAATATAAACATACTTATTTTAGAGATGCTTTTACAAGTGCAATTTTATTCCCAGGAAATATATCTCCTAAGAGAGAGCACTGAAGTATGAGTTAAGTGATTGGCGTGGGGGTCACTCCTGTCTCAACAAATTTAGCAACCTTTGCTAAGATGCTTAACCCTGTCTTAACAAAATTGGCAACTTTTGGTAAAATGCTTAATCTTCCTATGCCTAGCAGGTGGGTTTGAGGTGTGTTCTAAAATATATCAAATACTTTATAAAGTCTCCTTTTGTTCTGATCATTCTGTGGTATAAAGCACAACAGTACTGATTTAGAAGAGTATTGATACATCAAATTCATAATAACAAAGCATAAATTTTAGAAAATAATTATTAAAAGATTTAGCAGATAATATGTGCCTAGTATAGAAGAAATAGATTTGATACTATGAAAATAACTGTAATATCAAGCAATAGAATTCGTTAAAATAAATTGAACTTGAAATTGTACTTTAACTCCAAATACCTAAAAGTCATACACTCAAAAGATGATAGGGTCCAGCCAGAAAACATAATAAATGGCTGCTGAAATTCAATCACATAAAAATAATAATGTTAGAAATGAGAGCACATGAGAAGGTGCAGGCCACATCTAAAGAGAATGACGCTACCCAGGCCAAGCATTGTTATGCAGGAATGAGGGTCCAGAGGCCAAATATTCTATTTTCTACAGAAGTTGGGTTTTTAAAAAGTGAGTAAATAGTGTTTATTTTGGAAAAAACAAAAATCCGCTTTCCCAAATAAACACGTAGAGCTGGTATTAAAAATACAGAGAAGGTTTAAAGTTCTAAGAAAATAAATATTCTCAGGCAGAAAAATAGCAGTTTTAACAAAATTAAGAAATAGAAGATCAAATTTTTCAGTGAGCCAGATCTATAAAATGAACCCATAACACCATACAATTTATGAAGAAAGATGAAAAGGTGACGAGGGAAATGGTTTAGCACATGCACTGGACAAACACTGACCTTAGTTCTGTCCTATCTTTATAATATGATTTAGTACATGAGAAAGCATACTACTTTTTTATTTTGTTTTCATTTTTTATTGTTTCTCTTTCACATTTTATGGAAGAAAATACATACTATGAATATATGTCAGGATTTACTCTAAAAATATCAAGTTTCTACTAATAATCTCTCTCTCCACACCCACTTGTCAATATATTATAATTAACTTAAAATGTTTTTAAAATACATAACCAGATTATTTATTGCTTTGCAGGAAAGAATCTGCAAGCAGATTCTAGATACAATTTTGAATGCAGAGAAGTGTACATAAAATTTGCAAAAGAACAGTGTCTTTAAACTATCATTTCAATATTATCTCAAAATAATTTTCAGTGTGCACGCCCAATGTGTGAAAACAGAGCGACAAAACTGCTAAACCCGGAATGTTATTACTGTAGAATCATATGATATCAATACATAGAGGACCCATAAATTTCAATTCAAAAATTAAAACAGATGATCTGAGAAAAAATATGTACATTTATTATGACACAGAATTTTTAAAATTTCAAACTGTAACAGAAAATTTGGAAGGTATGATTACCATATATGCAATGTAGCATATGCAGTTATTAACTTTTCCTTACTACAGTGCACAAACCCTATTTCTTTCAGTAGGGAAATGTGAGAAAATGTGATGGATGTGTGATACTTTGAAAATATCTCATTGCATTTTCCTTCAATAGTTGAAAAAGTAAAAAAAAAAAAAAAAAAAAAAATTGGTCTCCTCCCTTTTCTTCAATAAATATGTGCATCTGAGTTTGGAGGACAACGGCTGTGGGAATATTTTGATGCACTGGCTAACGTTTCAAAAAATGTACTAATCAGAGAAAATTAGAAGGAAACAAAAGACTCCTAAATTTCAGGTAGTCATTTTTGTGTTTGCATGTGTCTTTTTTCTACATTTGGTAAAAGTTTTACAGTGTCCATCAGCCCTTTCAACAAAAAATATATGTAGTACCATCAATGGTGGTAATTTTACACATAAACACAAAGTATGTGTGCACTGTTCCATTGTACGCTGAATTATCTAGGGATGCACCGCGGTGTAAATTAAGAGAAAATTTACTTTATTACATTTAGCATTGTATGTGACTCATTAATAAAAATTAATATATGTTACATATCAGTCAAAAGCTAGCACCTTGTCATTGGTAAAAGTGTCTTTTTTTCCCAATATCTTCTTGTGTATTCATGCCTGAGTGTTTACATATTTAAAAAACATGCTTTTTATTATTATTTCCATTTTTTCTTTCATATTAGATTTAGAATATTATACTAATTTTTTATACTTTATGTGTATAGATAGTTATACTTACTCTGAATTTCACTTCAAAATAGTGTAGGAAGTGTTGCAAAATATTTATTATAAAAAGAGAGTATTGGATCAGAGAAAATAATCATTTTTTAGATAAGTAAGTTAACATATAATTATCATGAAAGCCTTTGTTAGACAAAATGTAAATTCAGTATTCTTTTCATTAAAAAAGCTATTTAATTTCTATGAATGGAAAATACAAGGAAAAAGATATGATAGACTATTCAACTGGATAAAAATATTTGCATGTATCACAGAGAGTTAAAATTCAATCTGCAAAATAGAACTGCTTGTATATCTAGACTTGTCCTCTCAGGTCCAAATCCATCCTTCCTCTTGGGACATTTTTTAGAACTAACCACTAATCCTTAGCCTGAATTAAAATACTGAAAATATTCCTTCATACTAATTGCCCCTCATTTCCCAATACATTATAATAGCTAAAGTTTATGGATTATATAATCAAATTCCCCTCTCTCTCTTTTTTCCCCATTGTCATTCTCACTACTTACTACGGGTTTCTAATACATCCATGATTCTTATGACTGAGATATCAAATTTCAGATTTTAGAAAAGCAATGTGTTTCATCTACCAGACACTATATAACATATCCAAGGAACAACCTATTCCTAAAAATATAATTGTTTCTACACCTAAATGTGTGAATATTTATACTAAGTAGAAAAAATAAAGGGTTAAATAGCTTCATGGCAGTTCAGTGCAGGAACTACCACCAAATAATTTCAGATAATTTCATGTTTTATCACCAAGAATACAGAAAATATTTTCATGTTTCAGAGATTCCTTGTTTTGGAACTACAGGTAAGGAATTGGGAACTGTTATTCAAACTCTGGTGTTCTTTCCTCTAGGCTAACAACTTCCTAATTGGTTTTCATGTTTTCCAGCTCTTCAGCATTCTACCTTGTAAGATTTGATTATGTAAATTGGGTTACTCTTGACACATCCAACTAAAATAAAAACATTCCTATAAATTTTATAAAACTAATTTAAAAAGAAAGAAGGAGGAGAAATGAAAATAAAACAAGCTTGCAGCACCATTCAGCATGAATCATTAAGTCAGCTTACTTTCTGACCCACTTCCTCGTAGTTGTTTCCCTATTGCCCACAAACCACATAAACACTGTCGCAAGGCTATAGCATCCCTTAAGTGCTCTAGAGATTACAACTTTAGCATTGTAAGATATTAACTTTTCCATTTGAGATATTCTTTAAGGTTCTGCATACTGGTGAAACTACTGACATCAGCTGCTCTGAAGGACCCCCATTGATGCTAGCTACTCTTTATGACCCCAAGAAGAGCTGACTCACCAAAGAAGACTGTTTCCACATTCTGATTATTTCATGCCTCTTACTCCATCCAGTCAATGATCCCAATATCCCCCTGACCTCCACCATGTACTTAAAAACTCTATCTCCTCAGGGAGATGAATTTGAGGGTCTCCTGTCTCCTTGCTTGGGTCTACTGTAATCACTAAACTCTCTCTCTGCTGCTAACCCTCTTGTCTCAGCGTATTGGTATGTTACTGTGTAGTGGGCATATGAACCCTTTGGTCCTGTAACAAATTCAGAGTCGAGAGGCCAAGGGGAAAAAGCAGTCAGGGCACATTAACAACAATTCCAAGAATTAAACTGCCACAAGCACAGCTGCTAAAACAGCCTGATGTAACCCTAAGACCAATTTTAGCTAATAGCTGCCATGATTCTGAAACTAATTTTACCTACCACCTTTACTCACCAAAGATTGCCAGTTCCCAAAAGCTTCTTCAGTGCCAATAGCCATTTTTTCAAAATAATATAGAACATTTATTTTAAAAATAACGCCCCCAACCTTCTATTTATTTTTCAGACATACCAAAGACCACTCCAGCCTGTGTGTATGCCCTGAATTGCAATTATGTGATTCTCAAATAAAATTTTAAATTTGCAACTTTTTTTGACTTCAACAACTTATTACCCTTCTACCCTTCTAAACTATGCTATCCAATACAGTAGACACCAGTCATATGTGGTTATTTAAATTTAAATAAATTAAAAGTAAATACAAATAAAATTTCAATTCCTCCATCATACAGGTCACATCCTAATAGCACAATGACACTTGTGGCTACTAGCTACAGTATGGGATAGTTCATACATAGACATTTCCATTATTACAAATAGTTCTATTGAACAGTGCTGTTTGATCTGCCAAATGGTTTAGAGGCTTTTTGTAAATTCTAAAACATAAGGGATATATATACACATACACACACACACATACACGCATATATATATACATATATATGTGTATATATATCCTTAAAATATGATTCATAGAGAGTCAGAATTTGGGTAATCATACTAACACCTTTTCCATGCCCCTTCTCAGTCATATTAGTGCTAAATTTTTTTATCTGAAATAAGAGGAGAGACGGCAGAACATATTAGTATAAATGCAGGTGGGTGGGTAGATTTGTTGGTGGAAGTTTATAAAAGTTCTGGTTTTCTTCCTGTGATTTTCTTTTTTTAGCGAAA